TGTGGTGCAGCAGGTTAACGCCCTGGCCTGAAGCGACAGCATCCCATATGGGCGCCAGTTCAAGACCTGGCTGCTCCACTTCCCATCCAGCTCTCTGCTACGGCCTGGGAAAGCAGTGGAAGATGGCCCAAGTGCTTGGGCACCTGCACGCAAGTGGGAAACCTGGAGGAAGCTCCTGGCTCCTGGCTTCGGATTGGCACAGCTCCGGCTGTTGGATTGGCACAGCTCCGGCCATTGTGGTCAATTGGGGAGTGAACCATCAGTTGGAAGACCTCTCTCTCTGCCTCTCCTCTCTCTGTGTAACTCTGACTTTCAAATAAATAAATAAAATCTTAAAAAAAAAAGAATTAAGGCTAACAAAGACATGTTCCACTTATTCACTTTATGTGACATGCAGAGGGACAGAGAGGCTGAGAAACAGAGACAGAGAGAGACAGCTCCTCCTCTGCTGGTTCACCCCCTAAATGCCCTCGACAGCCAGGGCTGGGCCGGGCCACAGCTGGAGGCAGGCACTCAGCCCGGGCCTCCCACGTGGAAGGCAAGGGACGCAAGCGCTGGAGCTGTCACCCGCTTCCTCCCAACGTGCCCCTGAGCGGGGAGCTGGACTCAGGAGCAGAGGCAGGACTTGAGCCCAGGCCAAGACATTTTTAGATAAACCAAAACGAGGGGAACTCATTTCCTGCAGGCCTGAACTGTAAAGAAATGCTAAACCAAGTGCTTCAGGCAGAAGGGGAATTATAAGGGATGCAAACTTCAAAAATGGCAGAGTACAGGAAAGGAAAATACCGAGGTTAGATTGGAGGGGTCTTAGCCTGTGGGTGGAGCACAGACGACAGACAGCAAAGCATAAAAGACAGGAGAGGCAGTGAGCAGGTCTGCACAGTGGCCTGGGTCTTCCATCGCAGGTGGAAATGTGGGCTCTGAGATGACTGTGGGGACTTAAGGATGTACTCTGCAAACTCTACAGTAACCATTTAAAAATAAAGTGCAAAGAGGCATAGCTAAAAATCCATAGATAGATCAATTAAAATTGAATTGCCTTTTTATATAAGCTTTATTTATTATTTGAAAGGCAGAACAAGAGAGCAAGAGAGAGAGAGAGAGAGAGAGATGTCTTCTATCTGCTGGTTCCACCCCCCATCCCACCCCTAGCCAAATGCTTGCAACAGCCAAGTCTGGGACAGGCAGAACCCAGGAGCCAAGTTCTCTACCTGGGTCTCCCATGTGAGTGGCCGGGGCTCAAGCACTTGGGCCGTCTCCCACTGCCTTCCAGACACTTCAGCAGGAAGCTGGATCAGAAGCAGAGCAGCCGGACTCGAACTAGTGCTCCCATATGGGACGCTAGTGTGGCGAGTGCAGTTTAACCCACCACACCACAATGTCAGCCCCAAAATTTATATGAGACACGCCCTAAAGACGCAATGGTCGAGGTCGGCGCCGTGGCTCACTTGGTTAATCCTCCACTTGCGGCACCATCATCCCATATGGGCACCGGGTTCTAGTCCCAGTTGCTCCTCTTCCAGTCCAGCTCTCTGTGTGGCCCAGGAGTGCAGTGGAGGATGGCCCAAGTGCTTGGGCCCTGCACCCGCATGGAGAGCAGGAGGAGGCACCTGGATCCTGGCAGCCATTTGGGGGGTGAACCAACGGAAGGAAGACCTTTCTCTCTCTCTCACTGTCTAACTCTGCTGTCAATAAGATAGATAAAATAAAAAAGCCGCAAGGGTCCGTTCCCCAGGCTCTGCCCTGCCCAGCAGAATCTGACCCCCAGCAACGCCAGGGACCCTAGCCTAACAGTGTCTAGGCCCCGAGGTGTCCCCTCCGCCACCCCTCGCAGCCGTGACACTCAAGGGGCCGTGGTGCACCTGCTGGAGACCCCCACAGCAGGAAACCAGCCCCTGGAACTGCACACGCAAGCCATGTTGCGTTGGGATCTGATCGTTCTGCGACAGCTCAAAGTAAAACAACCCCTAAAGGACCGTCAGGGTGGACCTGGAAAGGAAATGACCCTGGGAAAGCCGCGCTCGGCCGCGCGCATCGCCTCTCGCACATACGCGGTCACGGTCGGGCTGCCGAACGGGCCGCGGGAGCCACAGCGCCACCGTGCGGCGGCGGCTCAGTCCACCGGGTCTGCACTGGCTGGCCGGCCGGCCGGGGGAGCTAGCAGGAGAGGCCGCAAGGTGGGGCCCGGGCCCTGGGCTGGGGGTGCACAGCGCCTTCCCACTAGCTGGGTGACCTGGACGAGCTCCTTAACCTCTGTTAAGAGGCTCTCGCAGTAACAGGGAGACTGTAACTCGCAGCCTCACCGGGCTGTAGGAGCCACAGTGGCCCCCCGCGGAGCGCTGGAACCGAGCGGGGCTCGCTGACTCTTACAGTAAACCAGCAGCTTTGGGGTCCTTTGTATCCCAGCTTAGGCCACGCAGACACGAGAGCGACAGATGCTTCCCCAGGCCCTACTCTGACAGCGGACCCTGATGTTTCCAATTCTGCTCTGTTTTGCAAAGCTGATTGCAACTCACTAAACTGATCTTGCAAATCCACGATGGCTCACGTCCCACTTCTGAAAAACTCTGCAACGAATACCGGCAAGAGGGCGCGGTAGGCGCTTTACCCTCGGCCCAAGCTGCCCGCCCTTGGTCTCACACCTGTGCTCCGGCCACACCCAGGCCAGGTCCGCTCTGGCTGGCTGAGGGCCGTCTCACCGACTCTCCCCCTGCAGGAGGGGTGAGGCACTGAAGACACAGCCTCTCCACCCAGCAAGCACTGTTCTCCCCATTCCTCAGACGAGAAGCCTGAGGCCAGCAGAGGCGAAATGACCACAGGCTAAGGACAGACGGGCCCGGTCTTCCCTTGGAACCCAGGACGTGAACCCAGCAGGGGAACTGGCTCTGCAGAAGGTGCTCCAGAGGGTGGGTGGCTGGCTGTGGCACAGGAAGTTCCAGAGACACAGAAAAGCGGGTCTGAAAACGAGCCGGCAGCAGCAGCCCCGTCAGGGAGGCACCAGGGGCCTGGCAGTCCCACCCCGGGCTCCAGTGTGGGGGTCAGGCAGCGCGGAGGGGCCCCGTTCCGTCCAGCCCTGCCAGCCGTGGCCAAGTCACCCCGTCAAGAGGAAGGTCGACATGGCGGCTGGCAGCCTGTTCCAAGGATCCCCCACCCCACCCCCCATCCCGCTAGGAGAGCTCTCTGCAGAGAACTGGGAAACCTGCCCGTTGGACGGGGGACAAATACTAGCACGACGTGGCCAAGCTGCGCTGCAAGAAACACAGAGGGCACAATAGGGCCATGCCACGTGACGGGGAAAACGGGATTTGCAGCCAGAAGATTCTATCTGGGTCACTGCTCTCTGTTCATGAGCACCTACCATGAGGCATCAGGCCCCGCGGCCTGATGGAGAGGGGGCAACGCAGACAGAGACGGACCCGAGGGGGCTCGCAGAATAAACAGACAAGAGCAAGGCGGCCCAAGCGCATGACTGGCAGAGGCTCGGAGGAGAGTCCTGGCACAGCAGGGAGGGTGCCCCTGGGATGCCTGTTTGCAGTCCCAGCCCCTCCGCTCCTGTTCCAGCTCCCTGCTAATGAGCGCACGGAGGCTTTAGATGATGGCTCAAGTCCTGGCGTCCCTGCCACCCTGGACTGGGTTCTGGGCTCCTGACTTTGGCCTGGCCCAGCCCTGGCAGTCTGGGGGTTGGGGGAGTGAGTCAGCAGATGGAGGCTTCCCCGTGTCTGATTCTCTGCCTGCCTAATAAAATGCAACTAAATCGACGCACGAACGTGCTCACGGCCGCCGAGAGGGCTCACCAGGCTCACTCCTGGCCTGGCTGCGGGAGCACTTTCTCCGGCAGACAGCAGAGGGAGAAGCCAGGGCGGGGCTGGGAGAGACATTTCTGTCAACTCGGGAACTCACTCACACCCCCAGGCTGTTGAAATGGAGGTCAAGACAGCCTTGCTAGGCAGGGCAATAGAAATCAGTCTGTAGGGGCTGCGCTGTGGCGTAGCGGGTAAAGCCGCTGCCTGCAGTGCGGGCATCCCATGGGGGCACCGGGTCAGGTCCCGGCTGCTCCACTTCCCATCCAGCTCTCTGCTATGGCCTGGGAAAGCACTGGAAGATGGCCCAAGTCCTTGGACCCCGGCACCTGCGTAGGAGACCGGGAGGAAGCTCCTGGCTCCTGGCTTCAGATCGGCACAGCTCTGACCATTGCGGCCATTTGGGGAGTGAGCCAGCAGAGAGAAGACCTCTCTCTGTCTCTACCTCTCTCTGTCTCTACCTCTCAAATAAATGACTAAAATCTTTTAAAAAGAGAGATTCATCCATTTGAAAGGCAGCCTCAGAAAGAGAGGGAGACAGAGAGATCTTCCATCTGCTGGCTCTTCTGAATAAGCCGCTCTGGCTTTGGCTCGACACTCCCGCTCTTTCCTGACAGGTGTGACGCAAAGCAAACAGGCCATCGCTGCGTCCACAGGATTCTACGAGGCCCCGCGTGGCCGCACTGCCAGGCGCCGTGTGCAGGGGAGAGGAGAAGGCTGTGCCACCGGTCCGAGACAAGACAGCGGCCACGGCGAGAAGGGAAGGCCTCGGGCCTCGGGCCCAGCTCGCCCTGGTCACCTGGGGCCTGAGGCAGGCACGCGCCAGGGCTCCGGTCCCCAGCGACGCCCCCGGGGGCAGGGTGACCCGCTGTGCGTCACAGGCCAGGGACACAGAGCGGCCCCCAGACCGCCAGGGAAGTAGCTTGGTACCAAGCCTTTGAGGATGTCAGCCGAGGGAAAGAACCCTGCAGCACCTGCAGGAGTCACTGGGAGGAGCCACTGGCAGACGAAGAGCAGCGGCCATTACCGCAGCAAGAACCCGGAACCACGCCCCCCGTCTCGGTAACCCCGCCCCTTCCGCTCCCTCTTCCGGTCCCTCCGCTAGGGAGCACCGCCCCTTCCGGTCCCATCGCACCCGCGGTTCATCCTCCCCTTCCGGTGTGTCGCGGAAGCTCCGCCTCCTGGGGTGTGCCTTCTTCCGCTATTCCCATTGGCGGAAAATCCAAACAGCCAGCGACGCCCTCCAGGTTGCCCGTTCCAGGAAGTGACGATAGGCAGGCCCGCCCCTGAGGAAGTGACGTCTGAGTGCCCTTGACGGGCGGGGAGGGCTGGGCTGCGCATCCTTCCGCTCGCGCTGCAGGGAGGTAGGCGGCTGGGATGGCCCGAGGTGGGGTCGCGTCTGCGGCTCTCTGCGGGCGCGCTCCCGCGCAGGCCCGGACCGCGGGGGACCTGGCCTTGCGGAGAGCTGGGGTCCCAGGCGGCGTCCCGTTTCTCCCAGTTCCCCCCGGACACGTGTGCCTTGTATTTTGGTTCCCTCCACACTCCGACCCTTGTGTCTCTTGGTTCCTCCTGGAATGGCTGAGGTTCCCCGTTTCTGAGCCTACGCGCATCCCTGTCCCTGTGTGCGTTCTTCATCTCCCTCCGAAACGCTTTGTAGAGGAGCGAGGCGCAGAGGCGGCCTTGGGGCCCCGCGTGGACTGCCCTTGGGTGGCCGGGGTCCCGGGCATGGCCGCAGCTGACGTGCGAGGACCAGGGATGTGTGACAGGCTCTTGGCCCGCCGCGGGGCTCTGCAGACACTGGTTCCTCCCTCCGTCCTGGGAATCCCGCCCAAGCCCTTTGGCGGCGGTCAGCCCGGGTCGCCTGGGCCCTCCTTCGTGGCGCGGCCCCTCTGCCCCAGAAGTCTCCGCTGTGATCTCATGGCGGTCGGCCTCCCCATGGGTCTGTTACTGTGTGCCCCAGCTTCCCTTACAGATGGCTCAGCGACTTCTCCTGAGGAGGTTCCTGGCTGCCGCCGCCTCCAGGAAGCCCGCCCAGAGTCGGTGGGCACCGCTCGCCTTCAGCGCGGCGCGGACCCCGCCGTGCGGCCCCGGTGGCCACACAGGGACACCCAGCCCGGCCCGGACGCTGCACGCCACCGGAGTGCTGGCCACGACCTTTAACATCCAGGATGGATCCGACTTTCAGGACCGAGTCGTCAACAGCGAGACGCCAGTGGTTGTGGATTTCCACGCACAGTGAGTAGGGGCGGCAGTCAGCTTGAGACAGGACTGGGCTCACTCGGGCATTCCCCGAGCGCCCGCCGGGGCCCAGGGTCGGGATGGGCGTTTGACACACAGAGAGTGGTGAGCGTGGACGCCCCGCCTCCCCGAGGGGGGTCTGCAGGGCTGACCGTGGCCGCAGTCAGTGCTGGGGGAGCATTTGTGTTCCCTCCGCACCACGTGGAAAGCCCAGAGTCCCCCTTGGAGAGAGAGCACCGGGGTCGGCGCTGTGGCGGAGCAGGTTAAGCCTCTGTCTAAGGCACTGGCATCCCCTATGGGCGCCGGTTCGAGTCCCGGCTGCTCCACTTCCGATCCAGCTCCCTGCTGTGGCCTGGGAAGGCAGAGGATGGCCAGAGTGCTTGGGCCCCTGCACCCACATGGGAGACCCTCAGGAAACTCCTGGCTCCTGGCTTCAGATCGGCCCAGCCATTTGGGGAGTGAACCAGCAGGTGGAAGACCTCTCTCTCTGTCACTCTGCCTCTCAAAATAAATAAATAAATCGTTAAAAAAAAAAAATAGAGATTTTCCACGCCACCACAGTGGTGCCCACGCATGTAGGGGAGGGCAAGCTTTTCTCCAGCACTGTATGAGTTGGTTTAGATATTTAAAGGCCAGCGGCTTTGCGATTTCTTCTAACCTGGCCTCCATTTCCAGTCTCTTGGGTCCTGCCTAGATGCCAGACCCCTGAGGACGAGGCCTCCCGGGGAGCCGGTGTGCTGTGGGCTGAGTCGGGAGGTGGGAGACCGGGCAGAGTCGCTGACAGCTTCTGAAGCTGCCTTAACAGCTCGGTCTGGCTCGCCGTGTCCTGGGGCGGCCCCCTCCCTGGCCTGGGGCAGCCCACTCCGAGTCCTGGGGCGGCCCACCCCGTGTCCTGGGGCGGCCCACTCCCTGTCCTGGGGCAGCCCCCTCCCTGTCCTGGGGCGGCCCACTCCCTGTCCTGGGGCAGCCCACTCCCTGTCCTGGGGCGGCCCACTCCGTGTCCTGGGGCTCCCTCCTCGCTTGGGGAGGAGCTGAGGCCTTGCTGTGGGCTCGAGGGGCTCCGAGGTCGTCGGCTGAATCTCTGAATGGAAAAGGCTTTTCTGGGTTTTTTTCCTGTTTTGTTTGTTTGTTTTTAGTTTGAGGAGGAAGGACACAGAGCTCAATCTTCCGCCCTCTTGTTCACTCCCCAAATGCCGGCCACAGCTGGGGCTGGGCGAGACCATGGCCAGGAGCCAGGAGCTCCATGCAGCCCTCCCACGGACTTGAGCCGCCACCTGCTGCCTCCCAGGGTGCGCGCGAGCAGGAAGCTGGTGTCCGGACTGGAGATGGGGCCCGAACCCCGGCGTTGTGCGGGGCGCACACGTCCCCCTCGGCGTCCTAACCCGCTTCCCCCATTGAGACTTTTCCTAACACCTGTGGGCCTCGGTGTTGGGGGGCTCTTTGTGGTGTCAGCAGATTTGAGGAGTCTGCAGTAAGAGCAGAGGAGGTGCAGCAGTGGGCCTGGAACCCTGTGGACGCCCGGCCATCGCTGCCCCTGCCTTCAGCCCGCAGTCCACAGGGCACTGGAAGCAGCTGCAGGCCCCAGAGGCCGTTTAAGATTTCTCCTAACAGCCGGAGGGGGCACGGCCTGCCTTCTCGTAGGGCTTTAGGGGGCACGGCCTGCCTTCTCGTAGGGCTTTAGGGGGCACGGCCTGCCGTTTGCAGTTGAGGAAGCAGGCCCCGCTGCCGGATGAGGAGCCTCTCTGTGAACACAGACTTTTTAACGTGTCTCCGACAGCGTGCGCATTGAGACCCAGATCCCCCCTGACTTCCGGTGGCCTTAGCTGCCAGCAAGGCCACTGTGCGTTGAGAATGTCGAGTTGGACACACATCGAGGGTGCCTGGGTCCGGCCTGGCTCGGCAGCACGGGGCGTGTCGGGCATCTTCCTTGTGGCCGAGGGGCTGACCGGAGCCGCGTGTGCTGCCAGTGCCCAGCACCACGGCGCCCAGTCACGTGTCTCTAGCCCAGGAAGGGTCAGGGTTCAGAGTGTGGCTCCTACATATATGTGTGCCCTGTGCGCCGTCGCGAAGTCGGGCCGTCGGCTGGAACCACTCTGGCGTCCTAGATGCAGCCGTGTCCCGGGGTCTGCAGAGCCTCTGGCATTGCTGTTTGGTGTGTCAACACGCCAGGTTAATGTTCAAACACTAGCACAGAGGATAGGGAAGGGCAGAGGTCCCTGGGGAAGATGGGGTCGGGCGGTTCGGGGGAGGCGGGAGGGGTGGAGGGCCCTGCACTCTTGTGACCGCGTGCTGCTTACCTTCCAAGGTGGTGCGGCCCCTGCAAGATCCTGGGGCCACGGTTAGAGAAGATGGTGGCCAAGCAGCAGGGGAAGGTGGTGATGGCCAAGGTGGACATAGATGACCACACGGACCTCGCCCTCGAGTACGAGGTACGGATTTGGGGGGGTTGCTGCGGGGGAGCTGGCGGGGCGGGTCAGCCCAGGAGTAGCTGGTGTCTTGGGGACCACCTGATGGCCAGTAAGGATGTCTGGGGTTTTCCAGAGCTCTCGGGACCCAGAGCCCTTTGCAGACGGGGCTGTCGGTCCTCAGCCCCATGTCCCTGTCCACTGCCTTGAGGAAGGAAGTGGCTCAGGTGACCAGAGCACCGGCCACCCTCTTAGACATGGGCGCAGTCCCTCCCTGACTCTCCAGCCAACCTGCTGCATGCCGGGCATCCCTGCTTCTTTGGCTCCAGGCGGCCCTTAGTGTAGTCGGAGAGACGACAGGTCACTTCCAGGTGGGGTGAGGAGTGCTGGGGGAAGAGTGCGTGGAGGAGGAAGGGGCCGATGGTTCCCGGGCGGGCGGGGGCACGGCGCCTCTGAGCTGGACTCTGGCGGATGTTGGAATCATCTTAGGCGCCTCTGTGTGTCGGGGCGCTCAGCCCGTGAAGACCGCGCACTGTTCAAAAAAAGTCCCAAATGTGAAAACCCCTCTGGTCCCAAGCATTTTGGGAAGGGATTCTCACCCTGAGTAAGAGGTGCAGGAGGGGGTAAACCAGGAGAAGGGGTGGAGGTCCTGGGCTTGGGGGAGCGGCAGGGGGTGGTCTTCCTTATAAGGGCGGGGCCGGGGCAGGCCTGGCTGAGGAGAGGCCCAGGGGTGATGAGTGAAGCACCCCGGGGCGCGGGAGAGCACACAGAAGCACCAGGGCCCTGAGGTTGCGTGGGTGTGGCCTGCTCACCCCAGCAGGGGCCAGGTGCCTGGGGCAGGGGTGGCTCGGGCGTGGGTCGAGATCTCTCAGCCCTGGAGACCTCTGCAGTTGGAGGAAAGGGAGGGTCCGTCCTGGCTGGGGGCGGGAGGGGAGACAGCGGGGACAAAGCGGAGTGCAGCCAGCTCGGGAGGGGTCTGGGGTAGCCTGGCTGGAGGGGGCCCCGGGCAGGCCTGGTGGCTCGGGTCAGGTCTGGCCGGCCCTGGAAGGGATTTGAAGAAATGCAGAACCACGTGCTGGTACCGAGACTGAAGATTTCACCTAACAAACCCAGGTTTCTGGCTCTCTTGCAGCACCTTGGTCTGCCCAGGGCGAGCTTCACTCTCCCTCCTCCTGACTCCTCTGGCCTCCTCTCCCTGGCCCAGCTCGGGTGCCCATCCCCCACCCAGTGCCAGGGAGGAGATGGGTAGGGGCAGGCCGCTGCGGACTGCAGGTGGCGACAGATCTGTCCTTGGGCTGCTCACACCGCCTTGGAGGGAGGGTGTGGCTGTGTTTTAGAAAGCTCTCCCACCCATGTTCTGTTAGAGAGGCGTCTGCCTGACCATTTAGATGCCCTTGGTTTTCCGTCACCCCGGGGCCGCCGTCACCACAGGGCTGTCTGTGGGAGTGAGGGTGACCAGCTAGTGTGAGCCCAGGGCCGGAGCTGCCAAGGTCATGGTTGGGCTCCCCCCCCACCCCACCCCCTGGTGCTGCTGGACCCCACAGCTTCAGCCTCAGCCGTGTAACAGTAACGCTGCACCAGCTGTGTGCGTGCAGCCCGGCTGCAGAGGGCAGCCCAGTTCCACCTCGGGAGAGCCTCATGCAGGAGCGGCAGGAAGCCCTGTGGGCGAGCCCGGGAGGGGAGGCAGCTGCTCTGCCTCTGTCCACCGTCCACCTGGCGCGCGGTCCCACAGGAGGGCCGCGAGGCTGCCGGGTCCGGGTCGCCGAGCCCTGCGCTGTCCTCACTGGGGGGCTTAGGAAACCCCCACGGGGATTCTCCCTGGCCTCTCCCCACCCCACCCCCTTCCTTCACACCTGTCCTTTCTAAAGAGAGCCGGGAGAGACGTTCCGGCCAGGACACCTGCAGAACCTTCCGGACAGCTTCCTCCAAGGCCACGAATCCTCCCTCTAGCTTTGGTTGCACTTTGTGGAGAGACTGCTTTAAATTCTGTTCTGGGAGTGAGGCGCCTCTCGCCGACTCCCCGACTCCTCGTCTCCTCCTTCCTCGTACAAACTCCCCTGCCCTGGAACTGTTGCATTTTTTCGTTTTTTGAAAAAGTGACACAGAGAGAGAGAGAGAGAGAGAGAGATCTTCCATCCACCGGTTCACTCCTCAAATGATCGCAACGGCTGGGCCAAAGCCAGGAGCCAGGAACTGCATCTTGGTCTCCCACATGGGTGGGCCATCTTGCTGCCTTCCCAGGTGCATTAGCAGGGAGCTGGCCTGGAGGCAGAGCAGCTGGGACAAAACCATGCTGCCCTGTGGGTGTGACGTGCAGCGGCCTCCCCCCCTCCCCCCCCAACAACTCCAGCAACTGCCCACGCTAGAGCTTCAGCGCCCTCTAGGGGAGAAGGAAGGGCAAGTCCCTGTGCCTGGGGGTTCGGCCTCCCCCACTGCCCTTGCTGACTCCTGGGCAGACGAGGCTGCCAGCCTTCCTTCCACCTCGCGCTTAAAGCTGTCATCCTCTTGTTCCTCGTCCGAGACAAGGTGTGAGTGCGTTTTAAGATGCACGCCAGAGGGGAACGGTTACCTGGACGCAGCTGCTGCCCACATGGGCGGCTCACTCGCGTTTGCTGCAGCGTCCCGCACAACCTCACTGATGGCTTGTAGCTGACACGCAGTGTTTTAGTCGCTCCCATCTCCCTCGCTTTTGCAGTTCCTCTGAGGAGTGCTGTCGAGCAGGAGTGACCTGGGACCCTGTCCAGAGGCAGACTGTGACTCCGAGGGCCCGGGAAGGCCCAGGATCCTGCCTTTCTTTTATTTTTTAAGATCTATTGTATTAGGCCGGTGCCGCAGCTCACTAAGCTAATCCTCCGCCTTGCAGCACCGGCACACCAGGTTCTAGTCCCGGTCGGGGCGCCGGATTCTGTCCCGGTTGCCCCTCTTCCAGGCCAGCTCTCTGCTGTGGCCAGGGAGTGCAGTGGAGGATGGCCCAAGTGCTTGGGCCCTGCACCCCATGGGAGACCAGGAGAAGCACCTGGCTCCTGCCATCGGATCAGCGTGGTGCGCCGGCCACAGCGTGCCAGCCGCAGCGGCCATTGGAGGGTGAACCAACAGCAAAAGGAAGACCTTTCTCTCTGTCTCTCTCTCTCACTGTCCACTCTGCCTGTCAAAAAAAAAAAAGATCTATTGTATTTACATGAAAGGCAGACAGAGAGTGAGAGGTCTTCCATCTGCTGGTTCACTCCCCAAATGGCCACAGTGACTGGAGCTAAGCCAGTCCAAAGCCAGGAGCCAGGAGCTTCTTCCAGGTCTCAAACGTGAGTGGCAGAGGTCTCAATCCTTGAGCTGCCTTGCAGGGTGTGCATTAGCAGGAAGCTGGATCGGAAGCAGAGATGGGACTTGACCAGGGCTCCAATGTTGGATGCCACCCTGGCAGGCGGCGGCCTAATCTGCTGTGCCTAACCTGTTTGATCATGCCCGTCCCAAGGCGCAGCATTGCTTAGATCCAGTGCTGTGAAATTTTTTTTGGTTTTTACATGGCAGCCTTAAGATTTATTTTTATTTGAAAGGCAGAGTTACAGGGAGAGACAGAAAGGATCTTCCATCCTCTGGTTCACTCCCCAAATGGCCGCAACATCAGGGCTGAGCCAGACTGGAGCCAGGAGCCAGGAGCTTTTTCAGGGTCTCCCACATGAGTGCAGAGGCCCAAGGTCTTGGGCCATCCTCTGTTGCTTCCCCGGGCGCATTAGCAGGGAGCTGGATCAGAAGCAGAGCAGCCAGGAATTGAAGGGCATCCATATGGGGTGCCAGCATTGCAGGCAGTGGCTTCACCGCTAGGCCACAGTGCTGAGTGCCCCCCTGTGCCCTGCTTTATTTTTATTTTTATTTTTATTTATTTATTTGAAAGGCAAGGTTACAGAGATCTTCCATCTGCTGGTTCACTCCAAGTGGCTGCAACTACTTGAGCTGGGTGAATCAGGAGCCAGGAGCTTCTTCCGGGTCTCCCTCGTGGGTACAGGGGCCCAGGGACTTGAACATCTTCCACTGCTTTCCCAGGCAAATTAGCAGGGAACCGGATCGGAAGTGGAGTAGCGAGAACTCGAACTGGCACCCATATGGGATGCCGGCACCACACATGGTGGCTTTACCCACTAGACCACTATGCTGGCCCCAAGACTGCGTGTGTCTGATCCCAGTGATTGTGGCCCTGGGGGTCACAGGCTGGGCATTGAGGAGCAGACCCTCTGTGCTGCCCTGGCAGTGGGGGGTGCTGCCTTTGAAAGCCCCTGTCTCCCGGGCCCGTCAGGGGAGCTGCTTGTCGGTAGGGAGGGTCGCCTACAGGGACACACGTGCCCTCACTGCCCTAAGCCCCCTGCACTACACCCTCCACTCCCTCCCACTGCTCTCGGTCCCCGACAGCCACTGATTTGTCGTTTGTTGAGATTCTGGTTTTCCTAGAACAGTTCTGGGTTCACAGCAAAGCTGAGAGGAAGGCCCAGAAATGCCCCGCGTCCTGCTCCGCCAGACCCTGCACCGCGCCCGCCCACACAACAGGGGGCGCGTTGGTCACAGCTGAGGGTCCTGCGTTGACCCTGTGGGGTTGTACCCGAGCGCACAGTCTCCGTTAGGGCTCACGCAGTGTCGTCCTCCCTGGCGCGCCCCCGTCCGTGTCCCGGAGCACCTGTGGCTGCCCGGAAGGCCCTCGCGCGCTCCTCCGCTGCTGCCTCCGTGACGTTGCCTCTCAGTGATGGTTCCTCCGGGACCCCCCTCGTCTCCCAAAGCTTTCACACAACACTTGGTGTTGTCATTTGAGCCTGAATCCTTTCTTTTTACTTTTTTTTTTTTTTTTTTTTTGTAAGAGCTACAGAGAGATCCTCCATCCACTGGTTCAGTCCCCAAATGGCCTCAACACCCGGGGCTGGGCCAGGTGGAAGCCAGGGGCCAGGAGCTTTTCCTGGGTCTCCCACATGGGCCACAGGGCCCAAGCACTGGGCCATCATCCGCTGCTTTCCCAGGCCACCAGCAGGGGAGCCACCAGGACACCCACGTGGGACGTCGGCGCTGCCGATGGCGCTTCAACCACTGCACCGGCCCCTGAAATCTCCATGCTTCCCGCACCCTCTCCCCGCCGGGACTCTGTGTCCTGGGCAGAAGCAAAGCGCAGTTTGATGTCAACAGACAGTGGAGTGGGCGCCTTCCGAGCCCCAGGCCCCCCACCCGCCAGTCGCCCTGTCGTCCTGGAACGTCACCCAGCCCTTGAGCCTCAGCCTTCTCTGCTGGGTGGCGCTCCCCGGGCAAGAACGGATGAAGGCAGCAGGTGCAAGGCTCAGCGGCGTCCCTGGCACTTAAAAGGCAGTGGAACGTGGCCGTGACCTCTTTCTGTCCCGCAGTCAGCCGAGGAGCCGGCTGCCCACGTCTGCGGCACCAGGCACCCTGCTGCTCCTTTGGTCGGGTTAACACGTGGGCAGGGTTAGGGAGACCCGACAAGGACCCAGAGCTGGGTGGCACAGCAGGCAGGCTGCGGGATGGTGTGAAGAGGCCACACACTCCTGCCCGTAGGTCTCAGGCCCAGCCACAGAGCAGAGGCCACAGGTGGCCTCAGAGCAGGAGCACATGCTGGGGCCTTGCGCTCAGACCACCCGTGCAGGCGAGCGTGGCCCTTGGACCTGGGCAGCTCCATTTAAGGCAGCGTCTGCAGCACTGGCCCCTCCTGCTTATGAGCCAAACTCAGAGCAGGAGCGGTGAAGCCACATCCCCTTCCTCCTCCTGGGCAGCGGGCGGAAGTCCAGTCAGCCCAGATAGCCTGCAGCGTGCCTGCCTGTCCCCGCTGAGCGTGCACACGCCACACTCACACTTCAGGGATGCCCTGCGTCAGTGGGGACGAGGCCTTGGCTGTCCCAGGGCCGGCATTGTGGCAGAGGGTTAAGCTACTGCCTGCGACATCAGCCTCCCACACATGTGCCCTGCTTCCTCTCCAGCTCCCTGCTCATGCCCCCGGGAAGGCAGTGGAAGATGGCCCGACAGCTCACGCCCTGCCACCCATCTGGGAGACCCAAGTGGAGTTCTGGGCTCCTAGCTTCAGCCTGGCGCACCCCTGGGTGTTGCAGCCATCTGGGGAGTGAATCAGCAGAAGGAAGATACCTGTGTGTGTGTGTGTCTCCCTCCCTCTCTGAGTCTGCCTTTTTTTTTTTTTTTTTTTACATTTTTTTTTTATTTGACAGAGTTAGACTGAGAGAGACAGAGAGAAAGGTCTTCCTTCCGTTGGTTCACCCCCCAAATGGCCGCCATGGCTGGCACTGTGCCAATCTGAAGCCAGGAGCCAGGTGCTTCCTCCTGGTCTCCCATGCGGGTGCAGGGCCCAAGCACTTGGGCCATCCTCCACTGCCTTCCCAGGCCACAGCAGAGAGCTGGACTGGAAGAGGAGCAACCGGGACTAGAACCCGGTGCCCATATGTTATGCCAGTGCCACAGGCGGAGGATTAGCCAAGTGAGGCACGGCACCAGCCCCCAAAGTCTGCCTTTCAAATAAGTAAAAATAAATCTCTAAAAAAAACCTTCCAAGAAAGTAGATTTCCAGTATATGTGCCACACGCCTGACGGCTGCATGGCCCACGCTCACGCATGTATGCGGAGGGTACACAGCCGCGGTCATCTAAGTTTCTTTGTTGAAAGATCGCTCTCCCATCTGCTGGTTTACCCCTCAGATGCCCTCACAGGCAGGGCTGGGCCAGCCCGAAGGCAGGAGCCTGGTGCTGGATCAGGGAGAGCAGGGGGCTGGAGGGGAGGGAGGGGCCCAGGCGTTCCAACGCCAGGTGCAGGCGGCTCAGAGTGCTGGCTCTGCTGTGCCGCCTGTGAGCTCAGAGACTGGAAAAGGCCACCTTCTATGCCGTAGCATAACCTGTTTGTTTGAATTAAAGAAACAGGACAGGATGGCATCCAGCAAGCACAAAGTTGAAAGCTGGGAGTTCAACTCGGCCTCAGTAGGGAGCTGCCCCGGGAGGCGCCCAGCTCCCACGCAGACCACTAGGGGGCGCTGGAGGCCGCGCTGAGGGCCCCTGCAGCTTCCAGAGCTCAGCGGAAGCGAGCTGGGCCAGGAGACCCCGCAGGCGCCTGCTGGCCCCGGGACTTGCACCAGCGTAACCAGGACCGCAGCCCGCTCGGGCCTCTGCGCGGGGGCGTCCACGGTTAGCCCAGCTCCAGCGAGTAGCCTGTCGGGGTGTCAGCCCAGCACAGTCCTTACGGGGACCAGAGGCCCTGACAGGGGCGGGGATGCTGTACTGTGTGTGTCCCCCAATGCGCGTTAGGGGTGAGGACTTTCCTGCTGTGCCTGGTGAGGGTGCGGGCTGTGGACATTCTGAACCCTCAGGGGCGCCAGGCGTTCCGCCTGTGTGAGCAAACCCCGTCCCCTGTCTGCTTGCACCGCCTTCTCCGAGGCCCCGGATGCCAGGCAGGGAGCCCAGGCTGCAGAGGAGGCGCGGAGCCAGGGCGGGCCGTGGCCTCGTCTACATTCCGTGTCATCCACACGGGGCCCTGCCGAGCTGGGCAGGGTGCCTCATCCACCAGGAGCATTGCTTTCCCACCTGCCCCCAGCCCCCCCCCCCCCCCCCCCCGCCACACGCTGTCCAGTAGCAGGCGGTGAGTGGATCTGACATCCGGGCTGCACGCAGCTGCAGGAGCGCTTCCAGACGTCAGGGGAAAGGGGACTTAGAGATAGGCTGGCTTTGCTGCCCCTCTGTGGCCTCCATTGAGGGCCCACCGCGTGTCAGGTCCCTCCTAGCGCCATGCCCCGTGGCCAGGTGGGACCTGTGGCTCGCCTAAGTGCGCCCAGCCAGCAGGGACATGGGCTGCTGACTGCCCCGCTGTCCCTGCAGATCCGTCCTCCTACCCCGAACCCTCAGCTCCGCCTGCTGCCGGCCCCGCACCTCCTCCACCCGGCCCTGCCGCAGCTGTGTGGGTTATTTTCATCTCCCCAGTCATCCCAGCCAAACCGCTGGGCTGTGACTCAGGCGTGCGGTTGGGGAGGGCGGGCACTGCTGGGAGCCCACAGTGGAGGACGTCCCCCATGTTGCTGACCCAGGTGACTCGAGCTCCCTCTGCCTTGGCAGGTGTCGGCCGTGCCCACCGTGCTGGCCATCAAGAACGGGGACGTGGTGGACAAGTTCGTTGGCATCAAGGACGAGGAGCAGCTGGAGGCCTTCCTGAAGAAGCTGATCGGCTGACAAGCAGGGAAGGGGCCCCCGCAGTCCTGGGAGCGGACCCCGTGCTGGCCCCTGCTGCCTCCTCCCTGTCTGGCCCCAGTGGCCCCGTGCTTTGGGGACCAACCTCCGAACACGGGAGCCGCAAGTGCTTCTGAGCTGGCCCGCGGCCTGGGCGGCCGTCGGGAGTGGTGCTGCGGCTGGCGTGGCGACCGCGCCTTCCACCTTGCCCTTTTGTCTGCCCCTGCAGGGCCTGCCGCGGCTCTCCCGAGGTGCTGGGGAGCGCCCGGGGCGGGTGCACCACGAGGCCCAGGCAGCGACGCCTCGGCCTGGCTCCTTGGTCCTTTCTGAGCAGAACCCCTGGGCCTGGCTCCTCTGCCTCCTGCGTCTGTCTTTCCTGCTGCTGTTTTGTAAGAAGAGAAAGAACCAGGAACCCCAGACAAGGGGGAATGAGACCGAATTCTTTCATTTTTTTGTAGGTCTGTAATAAAGAACTCTGATCCCTTCTACCTCCTGGTTTGAAGCAGAGCCGGCCCCACGCTCGGATCCCCTGTGGTCCGTGTCCCGGGGAGACGCTGCCCTTCTCGCTCCCCACGCCTGGCCGGGGCCCGAGCACGGAGGCCGGCAGTGTCAGGGAGCGGAGCTCTCGGCTCTGGAGGGCTCCAGGCAGCGCCAGGCCTAACCGCCGACAGCTCAGACCAATAAAAGCGGCTGCAATCTGTCTGGGGCCCTTCCCCAGCTTCGCTGCTGTCCCTGCAGCCCCCCCCCGAGCCCCCCCTCCCCCTGGGCCAGCCCCTGCGGCCGCCATGCTGATGTCTTAGTCTCTGTCACCCGGCTGAAGACGCAGCGATACCCTCACCTCTCCCGGGGTGTCCTCCATGGTGGCTCCTGGCTCCTGCATGCTCACAGGACCGCCTGGGCCTGGGGACCCGCCCCCACCCTCGACTGTCCAGCCTCCCTTGGCGGGGGAAGGGTGCCAGGTAAACCATGCTCACCAGGTAATCCAGGCTTACCAGCCAAGAAGACCCTCGCCGTGCCGCTTTGGCTCTGCGGCCGAGGTGCCAGCCCCCTGCCACTCCTGGGTGCCTGACAGCAGGGCTGCCCTGCCCCCTGCACTTGGGCCCCAGGTGCGCTGTGTCCGCTGGGCCCAGTGCTGAGCCTCTTGCCTCGCAGAAGGCCCCGCTCCCGACCCCCAGGGGGGCCCCCAGCATCAGTGCTGTCCGCCTGTGAGCTGCTCCCAGGGGCTACCGAGTAGGTGCAGGGTCACAAAGCCGTAGCGGCTGGCATTGGAGGCCGGGGTCCTGGCACCTGCTCCCATGCGTCCCCACTGCATCCTCCCTCCCACCACCGTAGTGAATGTGTGTAGGACGGACAGGGCGGGTGGTGCCCGCAGGGCTGCTCAGGGTGAGGAATTCGGGAAGACACCGGGGAGCACGGGCTGGGCCCTGCCCACTGCACCCGCTGCCGCTCCTTAAAAGGCCTGCTGCCTGCCAAGCACTTTCCACATGTTACTTCACCCATTCCTGTCTCGTGAGGCAAGCCTCATTTCCATACCGTCAGGGAGGAAACCGGCCCGGAGACATGGACTTGCCCAAGGTCGCATGGAGAAAGCGACCCTGCCAGCTGTAAGCCAGGTGGGGGCCTGACCTCTCCACCCTGGGTGGCTGCGAGGAGCAGGCAGAGGCCCCGGGCTCTTCCCTGTCCTTAAAAGGCGAGACGAGGCGCGAGGTGAGCCATGGCCTCGGCCATCTCCCAGGTTGGCGGGCTTTGCCCGTGAGGCTGCTCGCCGCGGTGAGTCACGGGCCGTGAGCACAGAATCCGCAGCGGGGATCCTGTTCGGCTAATTCCATGGTGCTGACCTCACCAAGGACACGGCTGGCTCTGCCCCAGCCCCGCTGTCGCCCTCTGGGTGCCGTGCTGGGCTCCAGGCCCGCGGAAGGGGTCCGTGGCGCAGCTGCACGGGGAGGCACAGAAAACCCCAAGCTTCGAGGTGGGAAATCCGGGAAAGGGGACGAAGCCCCAGCCCCCCCCGGCCTCAGGTGTGCCTGGGCCGGCTCCTTCCGTGTAGAGTCTGCTGATGGGGGCGTGAGCTTGCTGCCCTGGGAGATTCTTGCATTCATTTCATTTGAAAGGCAGACAAAGAGAAACAGGGGTCTTCCATCTGCTGGTGTACCGCGCAGATGCCCGCGACAGCTGGGGCCGGCAGAGCCAGGGTTCTGAAACTCAAGCCGGATCTCCCACGTGGGTGACAGGGACCCAAGATGTGGGATGTGAGCCAACGCCCACCTTGCTGGCGGCTCGCTCCTGTGACCCCAGCAGGGGTCCTTCCTGGCTCTCCATGGGGCGCTGTCACTGGCAGGGGCGGCTCAGCATCTGGAATGAATGCCTGGTGGCCACTAGCAGGGATGCTGGAGGGAAACTGACCACGCCCTCTGGGAGCGTAAGCCCCCCCCCCGACACCCTAGCACGGGGCTTCAGGTCACTCCTGACCCGGCATCAGGGCAGCGTGCAGGGACCTCGGGTCATCCAAGCCCCCTCAAGAGGGCTCAGGGGAGGGAGGACTTGCCCAGGTCACAGCGTGATGGTAGCTGGGCTGGGATTTGAACCCACGTACCCTGCCTCCCGCCAGCTCTAAAATGCAAAGGCCTTTCGTCCCCTTGGTTTGGGGAGGATCAGCACCTGACAGAGAACGGTGGGGGTGCTGCCGTCCCTGCCCTCCCCTGCGAGCCCCCTCCCCCTAGCCCGGGACCCAGGGGCTGTGGAAAGCTCCGGAAAGTGAAGGTGGTTTTGGCCCGCTGCCGGAAATCCCTGAAGTGTGGGCCCTGGGCTGGGAAGGCCCAGAAACAATGGTGGGGCCGGGGCCACAGCGGCAGGATGGGGCCGCAGTTCCTCCCCGCTGCCTGGAACTGTGCTGCAGGTGTGACCCTGCCCCCAGGCCTGGGTCTGTGGCTCCCCTGGAATCTGGGCCATAGGTCACTCCAAGGAGCTCCACTCTCCAATGGCCTCCTGGAGGCCTTCCACCAGGTACCCGACGGAGGGGCACGTCGGGCAGGAGGTATCGGGCTCAATCCTGCCTTCGCCACCTGCTGCAGGCTGCTTCGCCCCTCTGAGGCTCAGTGTGCGAGTCAGGAGAATGGGGCAGTACGGCCGGCTGGCGATCACACCATCTGGAGACATCACAACCAGGGGCCACTCTCACCATTCCACAGAGGAGGGAGACGAAGGCCCGGAGAGCTCCAACAGCTCGGCACGAGTCAGTGCCAGAGCCCAGAGGTGAACTGGGTGTGTCTGATGCCAGCGCCTCTCTGCTCCCGTCCCGGCCCTGGCCCTCGGCTCTGCTGCTTTCCCTATGGGGCGGGTTTCTCGGCATTTTGAGCCCCAGCTGCACCACCTACGAATGGGGTGATGCTGTCTGTGCGGGAGGAGGCCCTGGCACCGCGGGCAGCTCCGCAGCGGTGGCCACCTCTCGTGTTCCCTTTGCCCAGCTCCTGCCTTCCCCAAGCTCCATCCCAGGCAGGAAACACCAGACTTCCCGAGATAAGGGCCCCAGCTCCCCGTCACGGGAGGGGCCGTGGCTGTGCCATCCTGAGGGCTTCCCACTGGGCCCCGTGTCCTGGCCCTGACCCCTGCCGCCGTCCCCTCCCCCTTGGAGCTGGTTGGGTCTTGCCTACGGCTCAGGCAGCCCTGGGGACCTATAGGTGGTGACCTCACCCTTGAAGAATGCCCAGTGCCACACACACCCCCAGTCCTGTGCTCTCCGTGCCTCCCGCCACTCTCTGCCCTCAGCCCTGTCACTCAGCACGCCTCTATCTGCCCACTCGCCACACGTGGCAGCCAACGGGAGCCCCTCTTGTGAGCTGGGACCCCCGCACTCCACGGCTGTCAGTGACCAGTTGGGGGCAGGGCAGTTCCCCACCTTCAGGGGGTGCGCAGGTGAGCGTGGGCACAAAGCTGCCTGCCCCTGGCCTGCTGCCCTCCTCAGCCTCCCACAGGAAGTCAGTCTACACCGCCAGACCGACCCGCGTGTCCTCTCACCCTCCCAACACCCCTGAGGACAGAGTGCTGCCCCCGAGAGTCAAAGGACCCCTCTTTGGGCCTCCAAATTTCACCTGACTCCGCCCTGCCCCCCCCCAAGGAGGCAGGAGATTCCCTCTGCCCAGGACACACTCCTGAGGCTACAGCACTGTCTCGGGTGCACACAGGGCTCTGATGCAGTGTAACAGCCAGGGCCGGCGCTGGGGCTTCACAGGGTGAGCCGCCACCTGCAGCGCCGCATCCCATGTGAGCACCGGTTCAAGTCCCAGCTGCCGCACTTCGGATCCAGCTCCCGTACCTGCACAGGCCAGGCCAGGACAGTGCAGCCCGCCGCGAAGCCCTGAAGAGGAGCAAACCTGCAATTTTGGCTGTCGGGTCAACTGCAGAGGAGGCGATGTGCTGTGCGTGCTAGCGGGACTCAGAGGCGTGGAGTGGGAAGCGGGCTGAGAGGCGGGCAGTGGGGAGGCGAGGCCGTGACAAGCCCAGTCGGGGAGACTGGGGGCCGGTGCTGTCGCCCTGCCGGTTAAGCCGCTGCCTGCAATGCCAGCGGCACACATCGGAGCGTCGGTTCCACTCCTGGCTGTGCTGCTGACCCAGCTCTCTGCTTGTGCACCCGGAAGGCAGCAGATGATGGCTCAGTACCTGGGCCCCTGCCACCCATGTGGGAGACCCGGGTGGACTTCCAGGCCCCTCGCGGCAGCCTGGCCCAGCCCTGCCTGGCCATTGAGGCCATTTGGGGAGAGGCAAGCAGTGGATGCAAGATCTCTCTCTCTCTCTCTGCCTTTCAAATACATAAATAAATCTTTCAAAAAAAAAAAAAAAATTCTGGAGGCTGAAGTTCAAGATCCCTGGTTTGCAGTTGGCAATGTCCTTGCGCCGTTTTTCCTCTGCCCATACTGTCCCTGTCCCACCCCGCGGACCTCATGTGACCTCTATAAAGGGCCTGCCCCAAGCGAAGTCACATTGTGCAGCCCTGGGTGTTGGGGCTTCAATATATGAATTTTGGGGGACACAACTCAACTCATAATAGCAACTCGTAAAAACCCCTATGGCTCGAACACGCAGCAGTGCCGGGCCCTGTGCTAATCGCTCTCCAAGCTTACGTTAAAGCGTTCAAAGCTCAGAAGAGCCGGGGAGGTAGGGCGGCCTACTATTAGTTCCAGTTTGTGGATGAGAAGATTGAGGCACAGAAGGCTTTTGGTTGTAGCCCCAGGTCAGACAGCCAGCAAGGGGCAGAGTGGGATTTACACCCAGGCTGTCCGGGGGCGGTGTGTGGCGCAGTGGATGGAGCAGCCGTTTGCCACGTGGCATCGCCAGCATCCCATACCGAATCCCAGCTGATGCGCCTGGGAAAGCAACAGAGGACGGCCCAAGTGCGTCGAAACCCTGCACCCACATGGGAGACCCAGATAAAGTTCCAGGCTCCTGGATTCATCCTGGCTCGGCCCTGGCCATTTATTTATTTATTTGAAAG